CAGAGATCCATGCTCAACAGTCTCAACAGCAGCAAGTGTGTCCTCCACCCAGGAGTTTCTTGTAGCTTGCTGCCCAAAGTATTTTTTAATAGAACTTGCTGAACAATTAACAAACAATGTGGCTTCCCACCTCATACGGTCTTGGGAAACCAGCAGTGCAGCAGTGAACTGGATGGTTGGCCTCAAGTCATGCTGGAAAGAGTGGTCTTGTGGGGAGCTTGGCTTTGGTCAAGGGCCATGAGGACCCACTTAACCTGAAATTATCCCTTCTAGGGCTATGACTGGACAGAAACCATTCCTCTGTTCTGCCAAAGCAGTTGGAAGAGGGTTAGGGTGCTGTGTGAGTTCCCCAATGGTCCTCTTCATGAATCTTCCAAAATGAGAGCAGCTTTGGTGAAGGTCACCTTCATATAAAGTAAAGTGTTTCTTTATGGTGTCTGCATAGCTTCAGGGAATTTCTTGCAAGCCAAATGGAGATTTATGCTATATATAAAAGGTGGTAAAGGCAGGGATAGGAACAGAACACTGAGATGTATCTGATGCCACCTGAGAAAAGATCTCAGTGGTTTTCATTGTTGGCCATTGGTGCTTTCCACCACGGCTGGGTTCTGCACAGCCTCCCTTTTTGTGACCACCACTCCTCAGGCAGACCCCAATCTGTTCCTAAACCTTCTGATTTTACTAAAAGCACACATTGGCTGGAAAAGTTGCAATTCCAAAAGTTGCAATTAAATGCAACTTTAATTGCATTTAATTTTGCAAGGGAGAGTGCTGGATTTCTTCCCTCTCCCATCCCTCTTTATCTGCCTGTCTGCCCATCGCCCTTCGTCCTCCTTTCCCTCCTGTGCCTCTTTCTCTCCCTGATTTATAGTGCTATGCAGATACCAACATCCATGCCAAAAAAGCAATAAGAAGGGAACCACAGAGCTGGTTTCGTAAGGCCTCTGGCTCTCTTCCACTTCTGAGAATAAAGGCTCATCTTGGGGTATTTTTATTTGTGGTTACTTACTCGATTCCTCTGAGGGTTTTTGGGTGCGGCGCAAAGATTGAGCTTTCAGCAGGGTGAATTACAGCCCTCTGGTAGAAAGAATTTGGAGTAGGCTTCGTTACTACTGTTCTTCCTTTTGTTTTAAATAGGTGGGCAATTGAAGGGACTTCCTTCTGCACTTACACCTGCACGGGTGGGATCTGGAGTGCTGGGTCCTTGCAGATCCACATGATGTGCAAATTGGAGAGGAGTGTTGGCAGCTCCTCCAGCACTGCGCTGGACAAGCTCAGCATGTGGGGATCATTGCTCTCTCTGGGTGGGATGGAGCTGCCCACGGAGCTGTGTTTCTTTTTGTTGGTTCAATGGAGCTTATAAATTGGCTGCAAAGCAAACCTGGGAGGAGCCAGGGCTCACTGGGGGGTCATTGTCGTACAGCAGCGATGGTGAAAATCCCATGCAAAGAGCACACACCAGGACTGCAAATCTCCTGCTAAAGGGCACTGCAGAGCACGGGAGCCCTGGTCACAGCCCATAGGATGCACAGGATGATAGTGAACAGAGAGAGGGATGACTGTGAGGAGAAGAAAGGCAGGGACCCATCTCTCTGCACAGCATGACATGTGCAGGAATGTGACGGGAAAGATGTGCTTTTGGGAGGAGAAGGAAAAAGGGAAAGTGGCTCCCTGGGATCTCTGCAGCCATGGGGAAATGCAAAGATGCTTGCTCAGAATATAGGCAAAGAGGCCAATGTTGTGGGCCTGGAGCATGAACGTGTTATGAGCTATTCCCATGATGTAATTCAAGATGGGAAACTCCTCAGCTTCCAACTAAGGCTGAGCTCCCAGTGCAAAGACTCCTCCCAGGATGGCACCAACAAATGCGGCTTTGAGGCCAATTTCAGAATTCTGGGATGCAGCAAAGTTGCCCAAACCTCTCTTCTCTTCATCTCTTCTCCTTGCTAATTGTTTGCATCCTGGCTATCAGGCTGCTGCATCACATCAATGCCACGGACCATTTATTCCATGGGCTCTGAAGAATTACAAAAATCCGTGTGCACATCCCCGGATTATGTTATATATAGAGCATTCCTCGTGTTCTAAAGAAGATACTGCACACAGCATGAGGGCGTCACTCCATGCATCACCCAAACCTGTTCTCTTCCCCCACTCCCAGCACGGGCGTATTTGTGCAATTGCTTTCGTTTAAAAGTATTTGATGCACATGATGGTGGTAAGAACATGTTCTTCTGGGGGTGATGAGTGAAGTGCACTCCTGAACGGCTGAACAACGTAATCCCAGGGAGTGCCCTGTCCTCGTGTTTATCTATCTTGTTGGCTGGTGTATGCATGTGTGTTGTTACTCTCGCTGACGTGGTTTGTGGGTATCACAGATCTCATTTCCGTTTATTTTTTAACCTCATCGCTGTTTTCTGCAATTCAGTGAATGCAACAATCACGGCGTTAAGAAGAACAGGGCACACCAGTCCCAGCATTGCCTCAAACCCATGGCACAAGCAAACAATTGCGAGCAGTAGTGGAAGTCAATCAGATGATGACCCCCAGGTGCTGCCCAACAACTCATTGAAAGCCTGCTTGAATTAAAAGGAGGGCCTAATTCTCATCTAGCTGCTGTGATCAGCAGGGCTTTTGTAGGGATTTCCCTACAGACAACAAAGAACTGATGGTATAATGGGGATGGTGGAGAGCCATTGGGTATCAAAGCTTGGGTTGCAGATTTGTGTTCTCTGCAGAAGCCAGTGGGGAGAGCATCCTGTCCCATATAGCTTTGGTTTATTCAGCTCCTTAAATGGTGTAGTAAAGAGAAGTTTTCTCTGTTCTTTGAGCCTGGGGAAGGAGGAGGGCTATTTCACCTGAAGGGCTTTGTAGAAGAGATGAAGGTCTGAGCTGCCAAGGAGAGGTTAGTGTTTGACTCTTAAGACCCAATTTACACTTCTCGTGGAGGTGAAGCTCTGGGATGGCTCACATGGATCAGTGGTGAGCAGGGAGCTCTGCCTGGATGCTGACAGTCCTGACAATGATGGGGCAAAAACCCTCAAGCACATGTGAATTTTTTTTCTATTACCCTTTCAGATTACTTTCCATATGTGCCTGTTAGTCTCCCACCCAGGAACCGAACCCAGTGGCAGGACTTAGCATTAATAATCCATGGATAATTCAGCAGCCTGAAAGCCTCGAGTAAATTCCTGTTTTTCTGGCTCTTTTTGAAGGCAATGTCAATGTTGTTGCTAGTGGGGGCTTTTTCCCTGCTGGGAATAGGAGAAAACACACTTGCTCCTGGGTGTGCCATCGTGTGTGTTGATGCAGCAGATCCCATAATTATCCCATCTGGTTTTCTTCGCGCTGTTTTTGATGCGGTTGAGCATTCAGCGAAGTTATTGTAATCCCTGCAGAATCCCTTGTGAATTTGGCGGGGTGTGACCTTGACAGATATATTTTTGTGTTGTTATTATAGAGCCTGAAAGCTGCGTGTGTGCAGGAAAACAGCTGCCTCATGTGGCTCAGTGCTGGACCAGCACTTGGTGGGGGGCTGCAGCAGGATGCTGAGGGTGCTGAACGGTTGCAGGGATGCTGTGCTCAACCTGTAGGTCTTGCTTGCACTCCTGATGAATCTGTGAGAGTGGGGAATGGCAGTTATTTAGAGAAAATAACCTTCATGGTGGGACTTTGCTGTGTTTGAGCCCTTCCAACTTGAAAAGCAGGGAATCAAGTTGAGAGCAGCTCGTTCTGGAGGAGGAGGATGCTTCCCATGAAGGCTGAAGGGATTTTCTTTTCCTCTGCTATTTTGTGGCAGAAATGGACTGTCTTGAAGCCTTGCAGCTTGTATGCTCCCCCAGCTCATTTCGTGGCTGGAATAAGGCACGATGGATTTCAGTGCCCAGTGACAACAACCCTTGCTGGTGTCAGATTGGTTCTGGGGCTGTGCAATGAGGGAAGACTGAGCTCTGGGGTGAGAACAGCCCTTTTAGACAATGGGCTATGGAGGGGGGTGGTTCCCTTCCCTGCTGCTTTTTGTTTAGAGGGAGGCTGTTGTGGTGGGCAATGCCATCTGTTTTGTTTTTTTGCTGAGAGCTTTTCTTCCTCCAGCCTCCGTGCTGTGGCTCTTTGAAGCATTCTCAGGTTAGGATGGAGTGTGTGGGGCCCCATGCTATCCTATGGAGGAATCTGGCTGGGCTGGGGGCTGCAGTTGCAGAACCCCTCTGGGGTCCATTAAGAAAACAAGCACCTGCTTTCTCACCACATGTCACCTGGAGGTTCTGTCCCCAAATCTTGGATGGAGACTGAGGGTGATGTCACTGAGCTGAGCATCACCACTTCCTCATCCTCAGCTGCAGCAGCACAAACCTGACCCCTCTGGCTCAGGTTTCCATCCCTAGCTTTGGACCTGCCCAATTCTATGCCTCTGCTCAACCCAGAGCAGAAAGAAAGCCCTTGAGGATCTTGTGGTTAATGGGCACTTAATTGATTCTGAATGATCCTGACAAGTTTTTGCAGTCTTTGCGGTAATCTGATTGAATAGCTCGGGCTGGTCTGTATGAGTGCCAGCTGTACATTGCTGGGCTGCATTCCTTCACTTCCAGCTCATGCTTTTCTTTTAACCCTTCCATCGACCCCTTCCAAGGAAAGGAAATCTCTCTCACTCAGTGCCCTTTGCTTTTGATGTGCTGGGAGCCAGACACCCCGTTTAGCTCCTTCCTTCATGGATGGGATGTAGAAATAATATTTGTCACTGGTGGGGGCTGCATGGGGCTGATGCACACACACAGGACACCTCCAGCCCCCTGGAGAGGGCAATGCAAGGGGGGGAAACGAGCCTCTCTGCCCTGCTCTGTGCAAAGCCTAGAAAGGGCCAGGGAGGGACCCAGGGCTGTGCGCCATTCCTTCCTGCTGCTCTTGTGATGGAGAGATCAACTATGATGTTCCTCTGCCCCATACCTGGATACAGCAGGGCCCATTGGCTGTTGCTTCTCAGCCCGTAGCTGGGGTCTGGCCCACAGCAGTGATGCTGCAGTAACACAGCATCCTTTGCATCTCCCTCTCCTGTGCAATACCTGCCCCGAGCTCAGCATCTCTTCCTACCCGATTGCTGCCTCGGCACGCATCCTCCCTGATGTGCATCCCCCCCATCGCTGCCAGTGACTGCTTGCCCTCATTTTGAGCTGTTTCTTTCCCAGCTTCCCCCTGTGCTGCAGGCTGGGAATGGTACGGTCCTCTCTCCAGCTCCCATTGCTCCGTGGATATTGCTAGAAGGTGAAGGCATCAGTGTGAGCTGCAGTGGCTGCAGGCAGCCCCAAATCACTCGGAGAGGGAGCAGAAGGGGCTCAGTGCGGAGCTCTGTCCCTTCCCTCTGGGTCTGGCAGCACCTTCGTGAGGTGCCATGACCCAGGGCAAGGTAGGTGGGAGGTCAACGCTGGGCTGGTGAGTCGTCATGCATGCGTAATTATTGCATGGTTCAGGAGGTGGGGGTGGGAGGAACGGGTTGGATGGAGAGGGCTTAAGGGATAAAGAAATTGTTGCAGAGGGGGGAGAGCTGGGTGTGTGAGCAAAGCCCGGTTTGTGGGTATGGTGGTCCCCGTGACAGCGGTGTTTTGGTGGAGGAAGGGGATGGAGCAGTCACTGTGGGGCTGGTGGCTGTTTCTTGTGGAGCTGGATGCGGAGCTCAGCCCATCCTTGGCCGTTTCTTGCCCTCCCATCCTGGATACTGGGGTGCTCACGCTTTCCCATCACTCCCCTCAGCACTTGGCACCTCCTGATGCAGGGAGATGTGTGTTTTGGGGTTCACCGATGCTCTGATCCTGGGGAAAGGGGGGGGTTGGTGTGCATGCATCCTCTGCCAGCACAGTGCACCATTGCCATGGCAACGATGCTGGAGGCTGCCTGGATGCGGTGCTGGCCCTGCATTTCTCCTCGGGCATCTCGGGGAGGTCTGCATGGTCCTGGCCACCATAGAGGGCAGAGCAGAGGATGTAGTATGCTCTCATCCCAAAGCAGATGCGTCTGTGACCAAGTGTGGCATCTAGCCTTATTTCTAAGGGTTTGCTGCACCTTTAATTAAAGACCTTTTTGTAGGAACTGTGCTGTCTGTCTCGGTACCAGTTCACTGTTCTGCTTCTTTCCTGGGGCTTCCAGCCCCACATCCCTGCGGCCCATGGGGTCCCTGGTGCTGAGCTAGCATCTACATGGACAGCAGGAACAGGATGCCAGGTTCATGGCTCATTCTGGGACAACAGGGATATTGCTGGAAGCTGTTCTCAGGTGGCCTGAGGTTGGCTGTTTGCTGGGATTTCCTATTCTGGCTATGTGGGTTCCCAAATCTGTTTGGTGCATCTTCAGATTGTGTATTTTTGGGTGAGCAAAGGTGCACCTTTGGTGCAGGCAGAGATAATGCTGGAGGCCTAAATCACAACACTTCACTGTGGATGGGAGAAACTGCCCAAAGTGGGGGAACCAGTGAGAATGGAAGAGCTGAGGGTGTTTCTTGTCTAGAAATTGAAAGCTTTTATTCTGAGAGAGAGCTCAGAAAGGAATGGGCTAAAAAGCAAAAAAAGACCTTGATGTTTTCCTGTGTTGGCTTGCACAGCTGTGCACCCTCAGCCCCAGTTTATCTGCAGCTTTTCATACTCTTTGTCAGGTTGTGTCCTCCCATTTCTCTCTCAATCAGAGGATGCACTCCCCTGGGGGGCTGCTGGGTCACCTTTCTCTGCAACCTGGGACTAAATAAGGGAGCCCCAGACCTCCACTTCTGCCCTTCTGATTTCACATTGAAAGGTAATTTCTGTGCCATTTTATAGCCTAATTTTTTTTCTTTTTCTTTCTTTTTTTTTTTCTTTTTTTTTCTTTTTTCTTTTTTCCCCTTCCTATGCAGCTCTCAGTGAACAACAAACCCCCCAACCCTGAGGGGCAGGGGGAGAAGAAGGACAATGCCACGGCCCCCCCAGCCCCTCCAACCTACGAGGAGGCAACAGCAGGAGAGGGGGTGAAGATGGGTACTTACCCTCCTCCTCCATCCGTCCCATTGCACCCCAGCTGGGCTTACGTTGACCCCAGTGAGTACCAGTGAGTTGGGAGGGTGGTGCAGAGTTTCTCTCCAGGCTTGTAGAGGGGAAAGGAGCCAGGGATGGGGGGGAGCTGGTGTGGTCTGTGGTAGGGATGCTCATAGGGTTATGGCTATTAGCTCTAGAAAATGTAGAAAAACATATTAAATATTTCTGTATTTATTATATAGAAATATATTAAAGATATAAAAATACTTGAATTGGTGGGGAAAAGAATCTGGCTTGCCCAGTGCTTCAAACACACCGCCTCCCTCCCAGTGCTCTGCTCCTCTCCAATATAGGGATGAGGAAATCCCATTTTGCTGCACCCGGCAATACCACCTCCCGGGGCTGGGGCTATCCTGGTGTGATGCAGCCTCATCCTTCCCCCACCTCTTCCATCTCCTTCAGTCAGAGAAGCAGCTGAATGTGCAAAACTATGGCATCAGTGATGCCCCATGGCTGCGGGGAAGCGCTCAGAGGCAGCGGAGGTGGAAACGCCACTGCACTCCAGGGCTGCATTGCTCCAGCATCGGTCTGCAGGGCAGTGAGGGCAGCCCTGGGTGAACAAACAGCTTTTCTTCCCCTCTGCAGGGGCTGTGACAAGCAGACAAAGTCCGCCTGTGGCTATGAGCTAGAGGTGCAGGAGGTGGCTGCTGGCTGCAGAGTGGGGGCAAGTGAGGCTGCTGGGGGGCAAGCGCTCCATCAGCATGGCTGGAGTTGCAGGGAGCACCAAAGAGACTGTGTTTAAGGGGTCCTGAGCCCTCTTTCTCCACTCCATCCTCTTCCTCTGCTTTTCTTTAGCCCATTCCAGCCAGCAGAGATGGTCACAGCTGTAGGGGTGGAGAGCTGTAGGGTAAGGGGGCTGAGCAAGCTAAGCTGAGATGTGTGTGCCTGCATGGCCTGGAGGTTTCACAGTCTTTTTCCATTCTTGTCTGCCTTTAGGGGTCAGAAAGAGAGGATAGATAACCTCCCAGCTTGCTGCAACCACCATCTGGGTCTTCCTGCTGTTGTGATGGATTAGGATGAGTGAAGCCCAAATGGGTTGGGGTGCCAGCATTTTGGGGTTTCCAGAGGACTCATTTTGGTGCTGCATCATCCCTTACTCCATCCTGACAATCCTGGCTGGCTTTTCCCTCTGCAGCTGTTCCCTGCACTCATCCCTGCCACTGCTTCTCTCTGATTTCACGTTCTCTCCCTGCTCCCATGCTGTGGGTCTCCGAGGCAGGGATGCAATGGGGCTCTGCTTAATGGCTCACATGAGACTACAATGCAGTGACATGTGGCTCTGGGGCTGCTGTCTGGAGTCCCACAATGGGGACACTGTGCCTCAAACAGGGCCGTGGGTGGGAGGTGGCTTGCTGCTGGGGATGCTTCAGGGCAGGAGGAAAGCCCTCCATTCCTCAGAGGCATTGAGGTGTGATGTGGTGCTGGATGCTGTGATTGCTGTGACGCAGGAGGCACAGTGGTGCCCCGGGGACACAGACCTCAGGTGCTCTGTGATAACAGACCGTGCAGAAATAGGATGCACGGAGGAGCACGTTCCTGCTGGGGCAGAAGGTGCAAGGGGTTCATTAAGCACCAAAAGAGCACGAGGGATTTATTTGCTGCCGGGGGGCATCTGGAAATGACGCTTCTGCAATAAGAGCAGGCAGCCTTTGGCCAGTAAAACAGAAGAAATTCAGGGCTATGGCTCTGAATTGGGCTTTCCTGCAGTGCTCCTCTGTGTCTTCATGGGTCTTCCCTCCACCTGCCCAAAGGAGCTGAGTACCAACGAGCTGTGAAGCTCTGAGGAGGAGCAGAGGCATCTGCCAAACAGGCAGAGATAGGAACATATAGCACATGTCATCTCATCAGCTCTGTTCCCATAGGAAAGCCAGCTTGCAGATGGTTAGTAACACAGATGGGGTTTTTTGGAAGAGAAGTAGCATGGAGAGATGATGTGTGAAGGCTGCAATGGGTTTGGTGTATGTGTTTTGTTTCGTTTTTCTTGAGTGCAAGAAGCTTCAGCAGCAACAGGGTGCTTCATGGAGCCCTTGGCAGTGCAGAAGTGTGGGGATTTTGGGGAAGGTGCTCAGCAGAGGTTGCACTGCAGTTGTTTCCCTCTTGCTGCTAAATCATTCTGACTCCATGGATAGAAATTGGGTGTAAGGATGGAGCTGAAATGAGCTGCTCACAGAAGGGAGAATGTGCTGTTGGCATAAGAACTGATGCAGCCACAACCTGAGCTCAGGCAATTACAGAGCTGAGAGGGAATCCTCCTGCACTGGAACTCCAGATGGGAATGATGGAGGTGCTGAGTCACAGCTCCTCTTGGGAATATTTTAATATTCAGCAAAAGGTGAACGAGGATACGGCATGAGCCCTCTAATTACCTTTAGAGTTGCCCTATTCCTGTAGACGGGGATTAACCCTGGTGTCCTCGTTGAGTTGGGGTTTGTGGAAAGTTAATCCCATTTCTCATCCTTGGAGATGATCTTTGCATGATGCACAATTCTGCATTATGGTGCCTGCACTGTGGGTCCTCCTGAGCTGAAATCAGTCACCGAGGACACATCATTGAAGCTGAATGGGGCTGATCTCTGCCTTTCCTTCAGGCACGAGCCCCAGCTATGGCAGCGGGGCATACCCTGGAGACACAGAGATGCTCACATCCTTCAGCTGGGATGACCGGAACGTGCGCAGAGTGTTCATCAGGAAGGTAAGAGCTGGAGCTGTGTCCCTCTGCTAAGCCTCCTGCAGGGCCATGAACCCAGCTCTGCTCTTTGGGACCTGGCTGCAGTGTCTGTGGCCCCCCAGGACCGTGCAGTGGGTCTCCTATGGGTGCCTCTTATTGCAGGTTTATGCCATCCTGATGGTCCAGCTCCTGGTGACTCTCGTCATTGTTGCTTTCTTCACCTTCTGGTAGGTCTCTGTGTTGCAGTGATGCTTTTTCCTGTCTGTCATCTGTACTACCTGTTACTCTGGGTTATTTTTTATGTAGATATGTGAACATTTATTCCACGTACCCTAAGACTGAGGGCCCCCACGAGGTCCTTTTGCTGGGTGGGTGTCCCTCTGGATGCCCCCTGAATGATGCATTGCCCCCTTGGGTGCCACCCCCAGCAGAGATGGGGATTCTTATCCTCACATTCAGCAGCTGCTGCTGCTCTGTCCCTGTATCATTCCTCCCTTGGAGTTATCAGCACTATCAGACTCCATCCTATGCTCCTGCAGAAGCAGACACCCCACAGCTCTCCAGCTCGGGTGACTGAGCATCCTAGGCATTGCAGCTCACGTTGCCCGTGGAATGAATAATGGATCACTGTCAGCCTGAGGAGATGACCTCCTCTATCACATCTCAGCAACACCACAAGCCTGGGGTCACTGATAGCAGCAGGGCTGTCTCCTTGCTGTGACAGCTTGGATTGCTTTCTGGTTGCTCGCTCTGGGTAGAGCCTGCTGTGTTTTTGTGCATAGCTCCTGCTGTGTCACCCCGTGAGCATTCCTAGGTTTAATTCAGCAGTAAGCTGTGAAGTGATTGGCATTTCAGTGCTCTCTGCTCAGTGTTCCTTTCTGTTTTGCAGCGAGCCAGTCAAGGGATACGTCCAGGTGCACTCTGGTTGGTACTGGGCTTCCTAGTGAGTATCTGTCCTCTCTGTGGCTGTGCATGTGCCAAACAGCTCTGGATGTGGCTGTGGTGGTGTGGAGATGCTTTGCAAACACTCCTATGTTTTGTATATGAAGACTTGCTGATCTCCAGAGGTCCCTCCCAACCCCTATGGTTCTGTAATTGCTTTAATGTGTGTGCAGGGGGAGACAGGGAAAGTCATGGGTAGGTGAAAATAGAAATGAGAAACCTCACCTAAATGAGCCTAAGTCATGAGAAAGACTGGATACCTCCCAATTCTTCCAAAAAGAGGGCTTGCTGCCCTACAAACCAGCATCAAAGTAAATACCTGAGTATTGCTTGCAGAGCAAATCCAGTAGAACTGGGGAGCTCCCAGGTAAACACTGTGGAAAACCAGTTGGAGAGCTGAAAGAATGCAGCGAGTGCCTTAGAGGCTTAATTTTCAGGGAATCATTAAGGCTGGGAAAGATCATGGCTAAGATCATCCAGTCCAACCGATTTTTGGATCCTCTCATTGAAAGCAAGGAGGGTGCCTGGTTGATGTCCCATGTCTGGATATCCAACAGATGGGGAAGGATGCAGGCAGTGTAAGTCTGGGCATTTGGAGACATTGTGGTCTCCTGGCCCTGCCTGAGTGTGTACTGGGAGGAGGGCAGGGGGGAGGCAATCATGCTGAGGTTGCCATCACAGAGCAGCTTTCAATGCTTGGAATTTGGGGTTCCATTCATTAAGCAAGCCTGGTCCCAAAGGTCAGAGAGAAAGGAGTTTGGCTGCACCCCGTGCGTTCATACACTTGCTGTGGTGCTGTTTTCTGGATGCTGTGTGCGTTAGTGCTGCTAATTAAGCAGACAGAGAGTGCGATGCAATTGCCCATGAATGACATTCTGTGAACCTGTCTTTAATTAGTTACACCCAAATCACAAAATGTGTCCAGGCCTGGAGATGAGACGCTTGCTTATATAACGTAGAAAACAGCTCCAAAATAGCAATAATAGGAGGAAACTGGCACCAGCATTGACCTTAGAGGAGAATTTGCTCCTTCCTGACCCACTGATAGGTTGGAGAGCTGTGCTGTCTTGCAGAGAGACAAGACCTGAGCAGAACTTGGGCTTGGCTTTCCCTTTGGGCACACCTGCAGCCTTCTCAGCTGTGGGCATCTGCCTCCTGGCCTTCAGGAGGAGCAAATGCATCTGGGGACAGGTGGAGAGATTTCATTTTGGTCTGCCCCCTTCAGCAAGCCCACCTTTCTCCCCCACTCCCCACGTTTCCAGGTCCTTGTCCTGGTTGGCTCTCCTTCATGCACAGGCATCACCTGTATATCTGCACCTCTGCAGTACAAGTGGATGCCCCAGGGTGTATTCTCACTGCTGAAGGAATAATGCAGGAGCAGATGATGAGTATAGGGGAGTGCAAAGCAGATGGACAGCAGCAAAGCTCGCTCTCTGCTCCCAACTTGAGCACTTTCCTGGTTTCCCTGCGGGAGAGCTCAGCTCAGGTTTATCTCTGGTGTATTTAGCATGGCCCGTGGCCTTTGCCGTCACGTTCATTTATTAGACCGAAGGTGAGTGGCTATCATGCTGCCATCGGCATGCTTGGAAGCTGCTTTCCCCCAGGCACGAGGGTGAAAGCAGGTGAGCAGGTTCCCATTGTGCCGGACACCGTGGTGGAAAAACACTGCAGCATGACAGCGGGGCACAGGGACCATCCCTCTGCTCTGGGATTGCTGCTTTGCTGAAGGGAGGAGGTCATGTCCCTTCTCCAGCACAGAGCATCCCGCTGTCCTTAAGCAAGCTGCTTAAAGCAGAATTCATAGGGCTGGGGGGAAGGGCTGCAGAAATGTCCCTATGGTCCCACTGAGCAGGGCAGGTGATGGAAACGAGGGTCACAACCTGGCTGCATCCATCCAAGCCCCACGAGCAGTGGGGAAGTGTCCGTAACAAACACCTTTGGGTGCTCCATTGACTCTGCTCTAAACCATCCTTCGGGCTTTTTTCAAGGGTGGGTGTTCTGTCCCACCTCAGGGATGGGTGTAAAGCAGGAAGCTTGGGGCAGGAAACAGCTTCAGCAATAAGAACTTAATGCCTTGCTTCAGCCCCAGCCTCAGCTTTCGCACTGTGCTGCATTTGAGAAGTGCAGTGGAGCATTAAAACTTGTCACCTGGAAGCTCCTCTCTTGCATCAGCAGGCAGTGCTTGTGTTTTCACCCTTTGATCTGCTCTTTTTCTCTTTGCAGTGCTGTTTTCTTTGTGACCTACCTGATTCTTGCTTGTTGCTCTGGGCCCAGGTAAAATGTTTTCTTTCTGGATTTAGAACAATGCAATGAAGTGAAGGATGAATGTTATCTTGCTTCAAACATGACCAACAGCATTGCAGAGATGGGACGGGGCTGTGTTTCCAGCAGCTGGGGGGGGGGGAGATGAGTTGCAGCCCCAGATGAGCTGCTGTATTGCTCTACGTGTTCATTGTTAAATACTTCAGGGAACCATCTGCTTTTTGCCCCCCCTGGTTGCTCTGCTGGGAAATCAGAAGGGCATTAGTACCCTTCTTGCTCTGGAGCACACAAATCCATCCCCCACCCCCACTGGGATGAGTGTCCTCCTCTGTACCACCCTGCCACTTACTCATAGGCTATTAATTACATTAATTACATGGCACATCTGATTGCATCCCGCTGATCAGCCCGTTTCTTTGCTTGCAGGAGGTATTTCCCATGGAACCTGATTCTGCTGAGCATCTTTGTAAGTACATCTGAATGGTGTCTGCTCTGACCACTGCGAGCTTCACAACGGCTCCAGGCAGGACAGAAAAGGCCCTGCTCTGAATTCCTGCAGGAATTCCATCCTCTGATTGCCCTGCACTCGGGCTGAGGAGCTGTAATTGAACTAGAACGTGATAAGAAGGGAAGAAGGGAGCCTCTGTTTAAAGCCAAATGCCTGCGGAGGCTGCACGGTCATGGGAATGGGGTAGTCCTGTGCAGGAGGGGGGAAGGTGGGACTACTCTCATTCATTTTAACCCATTCCCATGGACATTCATCATTGATATGTTTGAAACTATGCAAAAATTGCTTCTCTCGGGGACCTGTTTGAGGTTGCAGTGCCCTTGTGGTTATCACTGTTGCTGCAGTTCAGGTGCTTTATCTGCTCAGTGTCTCCTTGGGATATGAACACAAGAATAATGCTGTTCTCTCTCCTTCCAGACCCTCTCCATGGCTTATCTCACCGGGATGCTTTCCAGGTGGGTTGAGCACACTGTCCAGGAGCTGTCCTGATCCCATGTGTGACCTTTCCTTCCTTCTGAAACACAAGAACCACCTGAGCCCTGCACATCTGCCCCAGCAGACACCTGAAGCAGAAACTTTCCCTCTGAAAACACCAAGATACCCTTTTTTTTTTTTTCCCCCTCAAGGAAACTCTCCATGAAGAAGTGCTAACCCCTTCTTCTCCACTGCTAGGGCAGCACAGGATAATTCCTGGCTGTGCTAAACTCTATAGGAGAGCAATAGAGAGCCCCCCTGCCTGCACAGGTGGGCTATAGGGCACTGCCATAGGTTGATCTCACTCCTTGCAATGAGCAGACAGGGCTGGAGTGACACAAGGAAAGTTTTTTTTCCCAGCAGTTTTGTTTTGTTTTGTGCTCCCTCTTGCTTGTTTTTGCTGATATGCTCCGCTCAGATCAGCTCTGGTTCACATGGGGCCCTGGTGATGAGGCAGTGGGCGTTGATGGATGTGTGCAGCAGACAAAGAAATTGATGGCTTCAGCAGCTGAGGGAAAATACCAGAAAACAGGGGAGAATACCAGAGATAGTGCTCTGTAATGAAACTGAAGGGAAGAGCAGGAGCATAGCTCTTAGGGCTGAGCGTGGTGCTGGAACCAAGGCAGCTTCAAACCCCAAAGTACACATTCTTTATGATACATATATACATATATATTATATATATATATACATATATATCACCATGTAGTCTTTCTAGCTATTCAGATCCCACCCTGCAGATTAATAGTGCTCAACCCCTTGTTGCAAGCATGTAACAGTGGCTTTTGCAGCTTTCTGGCTTCTCATTGTGCTGCGGTGACGTTTGTCACTCTATTTTTATTACCTCCCAGTTTGAATCCTCCCCTTCTCCATCTGTCCACGCACAGAGAGATTTTTATACTCAGTCCCATCTTAACTGCTCCTGAGCTCTCAGGAGGCACAGATATGCCCCCTCCTGCCTACCCTCACCCTTTCTATTTAAAGCAGGAGGAAAAAACCCATCTGGGTCATTCTTAGTGTTTTCTCTCTTTCCTTTTGACCCTGAGGAGTGTTGGTATGGTTGGTGCAGGCTGTGCCCCTGAAATTCGTGTTGCCTACGTGTTTTCCCTATGCACTTCCACTGGGCTGCTGCCTGTCTCCACCTCTCCTTCCACCCATACCTGTGGAAATCCCACCAGAAAATTGGTTTTGCTGTTAATTTTGCAGTTATTATGACACCAAGTCAGTTCTTCTGTGCCTGGGGATCACTGCCCTGGTGTGTCTGTCTGTCACCATCTTCAGTTTCCAGACCAAGGTCAGTTCTTCTGGGTGAGGAGTGGAGGGGGGCAGGTCTGTAGGAGAAATCTGAGGGATGCTGGGGTGCAAACTGAAGGTTATGGAAGATGTTGGGGTGAGGGATGGGTCAGGGGATATAGAGGGGGTCAGAAGATGCTAATGTATGGAGTAAGTTGTGATTTTTGTTTTGATTTGGTTTTTAGGGTTAGATTGGGATGCTGAAAGGCACTAGAACAAATATACAGGAAGGGCTTTTGGATGTTTGGGATGTGATAGGTACTGGGTTCTTCTCCACAGAAACAGGAGGGATATGGTGGGTGTTTGGTTCTGCCACACAGTCAGGTGGGTGCTGGGCTGAGGTGCAGATGAAGCAATTGCCTCCAGCCGCAACATGGGAGTAGTGCTGGGGAGTCCCTCCCTGCAGACATGGGGTTTGGATCCCCTCGATGCTCCCTGCTCCAGTACCTGACCTTGTAATGCTTCTCTTTGCCTCTGCAGTTTGACTTCACCTCCTACCAGGGCATCCTCTTTGTGATGCTCATGGTGCTCTTCTTCGGTGGCATCATCCTGGCTGTGATTCTGCCCTACAAATATGTGAGTAAAGAGACACGTTCCTCTTTCCAGTTCCCCCATTTGTGCTGCAAGGCTGGGAGCTGCTCAGCATCAAGTCCTGGGGCTTGGTTTCAGAGAGGTGTCCCACCCTACTCTGAAAATGCACAGGAACACCAACAGAAGTAAAACAAAAACAAAGCAAACAAACAAACAAACAAAAAACACAAGAACCCCACATGGCTGCTGCCTGCTTGTACAATCAGATATCGGGTTGTGGGACAGCACTGGCCTGGGGCTGGAGGAAGTTTGTTTCTGTTCCTGGAGCTGCGTAGTGACCCCATGGCAGATGGCACCACCTGCTTGTGCCTCAGTTTCCCCTTCACTAAACTCAGCGTGGTGAGCATGTTTGTGTTGGGCTGCCCCAAACCAAGTGGGCTCCTAGCCCAAATTTAGGAAGAACTTAAACTTTGGATGTGTGCAGCTGGGAGGCTGTCTGGCCAGGACTGGCTGTAGCCACACAGCATGGGACAGTCTTGCATTTTGTCTTGAAGTTTGCATCTCTCCTATAAAAAGAAGCCCCTCTGGAGGGTGGTTCAGACCACAAGGGACCACCTCATTGCTCCTCCACTTGCCTCCAGTCCCTCTTGCATGGGTCCAGCCCTCCCTCTAGCCTTCCACATGGCTCTCTGCATCCCTGCTCCTGGCATGAACTCGGTGTTGGCTGGGACCACACCTTGCAAAGAGCTTGGCGTGGCAGCACGGAGCATCTGGTCCTCATCCAAGAATGCTTCATTAGGTGAACTGTCACTCAGGCAAAAGCCTGACAGATTCTGAAAGGTTCTGATGAAAGCAGGAAGGCTCTGTACCACCATTAATCACATGCAATGCCTCCTGGTGCTGTGACAGCAGCACCTGGCTTTGCTCACAGCAACCTTCAAGTGCCCTCCAAACCCTACACGTATTTCTGGGTCATGCTTTAAGAGTCAGACCTACAGGAGATGCTCCATTAGTGTCAGCCTTGGACTTAACCTGATGATGGAAAGCAGGTTGGTGTTTCCAAAACAAGGAAGTTGGCATTTTGTTGGCTTCAGACCAACCTCCTTTCTTCTGCAACATGAGGGTAAAGCAGCTCGCGGTGCCAATCTGCTGCCATTACACCCTCGAGACAACTGCTCTTTATCTTGTAGTCTGTCAAGATAAGCATAGCTAGAGGCAGCAGGTAATGAGCTTGTCTGTCTTGGGCAGGCTGCAATCTCTGGATTGAATCAGCCATCCATATGGGCCACCTTTTGTGGAATAGCAGTGCACTGGGTTACCATGCACAGCAAGCAGGGCTGAGACTGGGTCTCCATCCCATTGAATCTCCTGCTGTGATTTCAAATCATTCCACTTCCATTGACATACAAAGGGAAGCAATTGGAGTTTCTTCCCATGGGATCAGCTCATCTGGATAAGCAAACACCTCCTGGGGCTGCTGCAGGATGTGTTTCCACCAGAGTTGTTCTAAGAAGTGTCTGCTGGCACTGAGTTGAAGCATCTGTAGAAACACAACACGTGGCCTTGGAAACTCATGAGCCAAATGGACATAAAGGCAGAGTGTGGCAGGAAACTGAGACACTGGGACTTGCTCTTTGCTAAAACAAGCACTGCATTTGGTCTGAACGTGGTGCAAGTTCCAGGACTGCTAGAGCACTTTCCTTAGCTCATTGGGACCTGTCTGTGCCAGGTCCCAATTAACCAGTTCTCTCACGGGCACTGATTGGTGGATTTGTTTCTCCAGGTCCCCTGGCTCCATGCGATCTACGCTCTGCTTGGTGCCATCATCTTTACCATGGTAAGTGTGGTGCTGGGCACAGGGCTGGGAGTGTGCTGGCAGGAAATACACGCAAGTAAACATGGAATAATTGTTGGTTGGTTTTTTTTTTTTTTTTTTTTTTTTTGCCTGGAAAGGTGCTTAGGGAAGGGAAAAGAGTGAATCAAAGGATTGTAGAGAGCTTTACATCCTCAAATGGCTCACAAACAGCAATTAGCACGGTGACTTCAGCTTTGACCTGGGAAGGTGTTGGTGTACGTGATGGTGTGATGGGCAAACCCATGCTGCAAGTGCAATAGTAGGTGTGAACAACAGAAAGTATTGTAAGGACAGGTCAAAAGGCAATTGAGAGTGGGAGGAGAGACTTTGGCACAGCAGCAGGGGCCCAGCATGGGGCTCGAGGGGAACCTGGGGGTGAAACGAGGCTACGAAAGTGTACAAGGCCAAGGCAGGGCTGGTTGGGTTGGAGTGCATCAAGGTCTGGGTATGACATTCACTCATAAACAGAGCTCCAGGAGAGCAGTCAGAGGCCATGGGTTGGGATCAAGGGGCATTGGGAAGCTCCACTGCAGGCAGCAAAAGCCCTGAAATGGGGCAGTTCCTCTGAAGATGAACAGGCTCCATTCATTCCTTGGGCTGCTCCCTTGCTGCCCTCTCCCTGAGCATGTCCTGGCAGTGCCCTGCTTGCATTTGGGTGTGGGAATTGTCTGGGAAGATGCTTGGCTCTACCTTGAGTGGGGGTCAGGAAGAGGGCTGCCTTGGGGCTCAAGGCGGTGCCCATTGGGCATGCTGTGAATAAAAGCAGTTGAGCAATTTAATTTATTAGCTAATAAAGTCATTTCAAGTGAGCTCGGGTATTTCTTCTGTGATTCACGATTAAAGACTCTTCTGTGAAATACGAGGAAGCTAAACATCTTATAATCACCCTATAAACTTCAGTCAGAAGTTTTGCCAGGCTTGTCAGCTCAGCCTGCCCATGCCCTGGGAGATTTGGGGTGTAGTGATGGGTGGGAGGGCAAAGATGCCAACTGACCATTCATTCAGATTGCAGCTTGGAAGGTGTTAGCTCTGCTGATGGCTCTGCAGCAGACCTCAGGGATGACTCCTGAGCAGACCTGGGGGATGCCTCTGGTGTGGGAGAAGTGAAGGAGAGCTTTAGGAATAGGCATGAAGGAAGCAAGCCTGCAGTAAGGGTTTGACTGTCGAGAGTGAAAAGAAGGAAGGAGAAAGTTGCAACACAGTGCATTGTTCTGAGCTTCTAAAGGGCAGATATGGCCCAGAAAAGTGGCAGCACTCCTGTGGGTACAGTGAAGCTGCTGGAAGAGCTCCTAGCAAAGCTCTTTTTGGCTCCCTATGCAAAATCTACTCATGACTCTCACTGAGTTTCCTCTTTTCCCACAGTTCCTGGCCTTTGATACGCAGATGCTGATGGGGAATCGCCGATACTCACTGAGCCCAGAGGAATACATCTTTGGAGCCCTCAATATCTACCTGGACATCATCTACATCTTCTCCTTCTTACTGCAGTTCTTTGGCTCCAGCCAGGAGTGAGCACAGCAGGGCAGTATCTTCTCTTCGTTAGCTAGATGCAAATGTTTAAAAGAAATCTTAAAAGGAAAAGAGGGTTTAAAAAATGACAGCAAAACAACCCACCCTTTCTGGCCCACTAGCAGGCTCCATTCTATCAGCTGAGCAAAGCTCCTGGGTTCCTTCACGCAGCTTGTATATATGCTGTTAAGCCTTTGTGACCCAGACAGCAAAGCAGGGCTTAAGTGTGATGTCTCTCCTGCTCCCTCCACTCCTACTGAGCTCAAACCAAACCAGAGACCGGGAAGCACGAGGCTGAGGTTTTCTCTTCCCCAGAGGCTGCCTGCACATCATTGGATGTTGAAGTGCTGGGAACAGCTCTGCAAAGGGAAAGTGATGTTGAAGGAGGAGAGGAAGGGAATTTTGCTAGGATGCTGGCAAGAAATACAGAAGAACAAAGGAAAAAAAAAGCTGGGGAATGCCCCCTCCCCCCACTTCCCCCACCATCCCCATACTTGTCACCTGCATTCATTCAGAGCCCCACTGCCTCTGCAGAGAAATGCTCGAGAACTTAGAAAGACTGAGCAGGGGATCACATAATCTGGATGTCCCACAGTCAGCCAGGCTGAAGGGGACCTGTTGTTCTTTGGGGACATCCCAAATGCCACTGCAGGGGGAATTCTGTATCCTTTGCAGCTGGCTGTGGGGCTGAGGCTGCATTTTTTTTCCTTCCCAGACAGTAGGAGCACTGGTGTGGGCTCATCTCCCAAACCAGGGAGGTTGCAATGTCAGTGTTCTTCACGTGGGTAGGTGGGGATCCCATGGGTAAGTTGTTAGCAGGGAATGGCAGAGAGAGAGGCTGAGTCTCATAGCCTTCCTGACATGGGATGTGAGTGTCTGAAGTGCTGTGATCCATCCCACGACTCTGATGCCTTCAGGAAAGTGTCTTGGTTGCTTGAGATCCATGGTCCTAAGTGGTTGTTACCCAAAGACAGAGGGTGAACACCCGTTGCTTGAAACAGTGACATAGGTGTTGGCTACAAAGAGGTGTCTGCCATCTCCAGACAGGGATGGCAGAGTGCACACAGGTAAATTTCCATCTTCCCCTTGCTCACGTTCCCCTCTTTGGGGATTGGCTGGCTAATTTCTAACCGTAAAGCTCCATGTGGAGATAAGGGGCCTTTTGCTCTTATTTAGAAAGCGATCCTTCCTGCTGATAGAACCCGTATCTTCAATCTCCCTGGAATGCTGATGCAAGTGCGTCACTGGGCTGCCTCTAGCAATCCCCACGTCTTAGAGAAAGGCTCTGCCAGAATGCTCTGTGCTGCACATTCCTCTGCTTCTGCTGCCCCAGCTGTTACCCCTCACATGTTGCATCCTCCCACTGCACGTGTTCCGTGCCCTGAGCTGAGCAGAGGAAAAGGAAAGTTACTATACAAGAGTCAATAAAAAATAATGCTTCAACCCCTCAGCAGCTGTACTGACCTTGTTGGTAATGCAGGAGCAGAAGCGATGTTTTTCATCTCTCCCTTCAAGAAAAAACAACCATGGTTTGGGGATAAGGAATGCTACAAGGATAGCGTGAAGTCCATGAGCCCCTGTTTCCTGCAGCACATCACAGAGACCAAATAAGGGCCATGAGCTGTTGGGCAGGAGAAACTGGGAGAAAAGACAGCATGGGAGGCACCCTAAAAGTTCACGAAATAGAAGTTCAGAGAGGGATTTTTCTCACTCGGACCCACGCAGGCACTTCTGCAACACCTTAGCAGACAGGCTGTGCAGCTTCCTTTGCTCATAGCAGAAGGCCTGTGGGCTTTTCTGCTTTCCAGCTTTTCAGGAAGGAGCCTTATGTGAAGAGTTCTGACTCAACAACAGTTCTAAAATTCCTCTGGAAGAGGACAATCCAGGAGCTCTTCAGCCCTCTTCCTGCACTGGGACTTCTTGCAATCAGACCTGGGGAGGAGAACACAAACCTGCAGCCCACTCTGGATTTCTTGCTCTTTTTCCTTCTGATGTGGAGTAACTCTGCTGCTGCTCTCTCCTGGCTTTCTGCTCCCACGTGGGAAAAGCTTGCATGGCATCTGCTCAATCTCGGGACCACCTTAGCAGGGATGGCTATATGTCCCTCTGCAGGGCTCCCTTCTTGCATGCGTCCTGGTTCCTCTCCATGCTGTCCCCACACCTTGCTGCCCACCCAAGCCAGACAGAGATCACTTGAAGGTTGAAGTCCTCACAGGGCTGAACATCACAAGGTTAGGGGTGAGGAACAGCCATTGTTGGGTTCCTCCTGGGTTCCTCACCCTGCTGCACAGCAGAGGTGCTGGGCTGCTTCTCTTTTGCCATGTGGATGTTCCTTATCTGAGGCCCGCATTGCCTGGCCCCTGGCTCTGTATCCCCACGCTCCCTTTGTCCGCCCATTCTTACAATTTCAGAAATAGGATTTTGTATTTTCTCCAAACGTTGCTAATAAACTGTTGCAAAACTGTTAGCGTTGTTCTGTTGTGAGGCCACATCGAAGGATGGTTTGGTTGCACAGCTGAAATGGAAAACATAAACAGGACTGTGGCGTGACGTGGCATAGTTCAAGGTCTTAGTGCAGACCTGACTGTTCTTTCTCTGCCTATGGCCAAAGAATGCATCCTATGTGAAGCAATAAAGTGCTCGTGGCTTTAGCACAGCCACCATGCATGAAGCATCTGAGAACTGAGAGCCAGAGGATTCCCTGGGTGTCAGCAGACTCTTAGACTTGGGTTAAGCTGATGTAGGATTCCAAACCAACAAAGCAGAGGCAAGCAAGTGCTGCAAGCAAATGCTCAGAGAGCATTTTCCACTGCCTCTGGAGAGTGACCTGACGCTCAAAGCCTTCTCTGGAGCCAGTGGGAAAAATAAAAGCCTCCAGAGAGCAATTCACTTGATGTAAATTAATGCCTACAGCAGGTGGAGAAAACTCCTATCTCTCTCCATCAGCCACAGAGGGCTGATTAGTGTGGCTGTCAGAGCAGAGCGATGCCAACCACAGCATCTTGTTGCAACAGATCTCTGCTCCTTAGAAGGAGCCATGCCCAAAAGGCAGGTGTGAGATTTTGTTTCCTAAGAAATGTGGATAAACAGTGAGATAGGGCCCAGATGGGCTTTCCTGCCCACAGACGCATTTTTTTGGCAGCAAGAAAAGGTGTTGCATTGTTGTTCTGGGTAACTTAAGCTCTGCTGTGGGATAGCAATTGTGGAAAAATAATTGAAGCAAAGCATTTCCATAGAAAGAGTGAGGTGGCCGTGAGCTTTTGTATGAGCTATCGCTATCTGCTCCTGTCATTAACGTCAATGAAATAAAAGACTGATGATTCAGCCAAATTTCAACACTGGACTGAGCAATAGGGCAAACAGTGAAACACAGTAGGACCAATCCAAGGTGGACATGGGAGAGAAGGATACTCTTCTCCTAGGTAACACTGATAGGACCAGAGGGAATGACCTCAATTTGCGTTAGGGGAGGTGCAGGTTGGATATTAGGAATAATTTCTTCTTCGAAAGAGTGGTGATGCATTGGCCCAGGCTGCCAAGGGAGGTGGTGGGATCAGCATCCCTAAAGGGGTTCAGGAACCGTGGAGAGGTGGCACACGGGAATGTGGTCAGTGGGCACGGTGGGGTGGGTTGGAGTTGGACTGGATGCTCTGGGAGTTCTTTTCCAACATTAATGTTTCTCTGATTCTAAGCAAGGAGATGGGGAGATAGACCCCATTTTGAAGGATATTGAAAGAGGAAAGCATTGAGCTGTTTCCTATGCCTATAGCAAATGAGGCAGGAAGATGAGGGGTCTAAATGCAGACAGAGAGAGTCAGAGGAGACCTGAAGTATATAAATACAAATTCCTCTCCCAGGAGAAGAGTGAAATGTTTATTTTTGCTCCCCTTCCCATCTTCCTTCCCTTCCATCCTCGAGCTGTATTCAGGACAGTGGGACTCTTTGCCAACCCTCCTTGTTTTTCTCAATGCAAAACGTAGCCAGGGCTGAACCCTGGCTCTGGTGTGCACCCAGATTTTTGAGTTCCTGGCGCCCTCTGCTCTTCGTGCTGTGATAAAAAACAACATCACTGTCTAAAATGATGTATTCCCTGTATTCCCTGTCAGCTTGCCCCTCAAACCTTCCCTGTGATGCAGATGGGGGTCTTCTTCACTCCTTTTTACCAAAGCCTTTATTTTTCCTGCTGTAAAACCTCCCGCTGGCTGCTTGCCTATCAAATCACAGAATCGTTAAGGTTCAAAAGACTTTGATGGGAGTTCAACCATCAACCCATCCCCACCATGCCCACTCATAGAATCACTGAATCATTAAGGTTGGAAAAGACCGCTAAGGTCATCCAGTCCAATCACTGAATCAACACCACCATGCCCAAAAAACCATGTCCCTAACTGCCACATTTTCATGTTTCTTGAGCACCTCTTCAGCCTGCTCTGGTGTGACAGGGCCAGTGGTCTTTTAGGTAAAATCTCTACGAATTCCACTTTTCACTCAAAGGGATTTGGAAAGACTAGAATAGGATGGCTGTGGCTGTGCAGGTAGCAGGAGTGTTTTTTTCCTTGGTGGACTACAGGAGGATGGCGTTGTCCTCTTGTCCCTGCTTGTGGTCCTATCAGGGATGGGGAGCAGAATAAATCCCCCACGACTCAGGAGGAAGCAGGTAGGGACCTGCTGCTCCACCTGCAGTGTCACACGTCCATGGGGTTGGATGGGATCCACCTGAAGGTACTGAGGGAGCTGGCAGAGGTGGCTGCTGATCTGCTATCCACCATTTATCAGCAGTCCTGGTGAAGTGGGGAGGTCCCATACAAATGGAGACTTGACAACGTGACGCCCATCTACAAGAAGGGTCAGAAGGAGGATTTGAGGAACTACAGAAGGAAGGTCATGGAGCAGATCATCTTGACTGTGATGAGATGGCATGCAGGGACAAGTGGGGGATCAGGCTCAGGCAACACGGGTTCACAAAAGGCGAGTCATTCCTGATCAACCTGGTCTCCTTCTATGACCGTGCAACCGGCTGGTGGATGAGAGCAAGGCTATGGATGTGAACTGCCTAGATTTTAGTAAAGCTTCTTACTCTGTCTCCCACAGGACTGTCCTGGAGGAGCTGCAGCACACAGCTTGCACAGCTGTACTCTTTTCTGGGTAAAATCTGGTCACCATCCCTGGAGGTGCTCAGAAACCATGGAGAGGTGGCACATGGGGATACGGTCAGTGGGTATGGTGAACCGGGCTGGGCTGGGTCTGGATGATCTGGGAGGTCTTTTCCAACCTTCATGATTCTATGATTCTATCTTTCTATCACCACCACTGTCACACAGCAAACCTCCATCCCAACGGCGCTCTACGCATGCGCACACCTTCCCCCCCGGAACCTTTCTCTCCTGGAACCTTTCTCTTCTCCCTCTGTTCCCGCCCGGCGACCGCACAACAACCGGGCAAAATGGCGGCGCCCACAAACGAGGAGGGTCCCACTTTGGAGCCCGGCGCCGCTCCTTATGGCAACTTCCCCAATTACTCCCGCTTCCACCCGCCCGAGGGCCGCCTCCGCCTCTTACCCGGAGGACTCCTGCGGCAGCTGTTCCCCTCGGACGCCCGCCCGCTGCTGGGGCTCGACGTGGGCTGCAATTCTGGGGTAAGGGCACCTCGGGGCGGGGTGGGCCTGGTAGGGCCTCCTGAGGGAAGGGAGGAAAGGTAGGGGACGGACGGACGGACAGAAAGACGTGGGGGTGACGGGAGAGACTGAAGGGAGAGGGTGGGCAATGGGGAGATTGGTGTGGGGGTATTGGTGGAGCAGTGGGAAAGATTTATAGGAAGATGGTGGTGTAGAGTATGGGGGGCGGGGAGAAAGATTGGGGGAGGCAGCGATCTGGGGCATTATGGAGCAGTGGGATAAATTAGGGGTGAGACTTGTCTGGGGTATTGGAAGGCAGAGGGAAGGATTCGGTTAGAGACGGTGGTGTATAATACAGAAGGCAGTGGGAAAGCTTGGGGGGAGCAGTGGGAAGCATTGGGTGAAAGTGGCTTGGAGTACTTGGAGGGCAGAAGGAAATAATAGGGGGAGACAGTGGTCTTGAGTATGGGGGTCAGGGAGAAAGACTGGGGGAAGAAGTGATCTGGGGCATTGGGGGAAAGTAAAAAGTTAAAGGGGAGGCAGTGGGCTGAGGTATTGGAGGGCAGTGGAAAAGACTGGGGGAGAGTGGTCTAGGATATGGGAGGCAATGGGGAAGTGTAAGGGGAGACAGTGATATGGGATGTTTGAGGAGCAGGAGTGAGAGTGGACTGGAGTAGTGGAGGACAGTGGGGGAGATTGATCTGGGGATACTGGGGGCAGTGGGAAACATTAATGGAAGGCAGTGGTCTAGAATATGGGGGGAAGGGGAGAAAGATTAGGGGCAGAGGCAGTGATCTGGAGCATTGGGGGATGGTGAGAGATTCATGGGAAGACAGTGGCCTCTGGTATAGGAAGCAATGGGAAGGCTTGGGGGGAATAGTGTGAAAGGTTGGGAGACAGTGGCCTGGAGTAGTGGGGGCAGTAGGAGAAAAAAGAGGGGAGGCAGAGGTCTTGAATATGGGGAACAGGGGAAAAGATTTGGGGGAAGCAGTGATCTGGAGCATTAAGGGGCAGTGGGAAAAATTAGGGGTGAGAGTGGTCTGGGGTGCTGACTATTGGGGGACAGTGAAGAAATATTAAGATGGGTAATGGTCTGGGATAATGGGGAGATTGGCGTGGAGTGCTGGGGCAGTGGGGAAGATGAACAGGAAGGCAGTGTTCTGAGGTATAGAGGGGAAGATTAGGAGTGACTAGGGCACAGGGTGGCAGAGTGAAAAATTAGCAGGGAGACAGTTGTCTGGGATACTGGGGTGTAGTGGAAAAGACTGGGGGGGAGATAGTGATCTGGAACATTGGGAGCAGTGGAAGAGTTTAAGGGAGACAGTGCTCTCAGGTACTGGGGCACAGTGGGAGAAGTTAGGGGGTATGGGAAAGCAATGACTCATGGTAGTCCAGAAATGGAGGAGACTGGGGGAGGCAGGAGCCTGGGGTACAGTGGGATGGACTGGGGAGACTGGAGCAATCTGTGATTGGAGGTGTGGGAGGAAGGAATGGAGGAGGCACTGCCTGGAATTTTGGGGAGGAATGGAGCAGCCTGAGCAAACGGAGGGGTGTAGTGGCCTGGAGTGGTGGGGACAGTGGAGAAGGCTGTGGGAACAGTAACCCAGGGAGCTGGTGGGAAATGAAACAGCCTGGGAGGGCTGGGGGGTGTGGGACATCAGCCTGGGGTGGGTGTGAGCCTGTGAGACTGAGGCAGAGAGCACTTGGGTGGGGGTCACAGACCACTGCAGTGTGGGAAGCCACCTCCTCAAATCTCCTATGAGAGAACAGTGACGGTAAGAGTGGAGCTGCCTATGCCTAAATACTGAGGCTGAGAAGTGGTTTGGAGGCTGTGCTCAGTCTGTCCTCCTTCCCACCAAGTGTTGGACCTGTAGAGCCCTGGGTTGCTGGGTGTCCTCAGCACCAAAGAGGCAGCGAACCAGCCAAGTCTGAAATTAGAAACCATGATCTGGTATGAATTTAGCAGTAGCACCTCAGTTATTGCTCAGACAGGACTTAAAATTAACATCCTGCTCACGCATTCTTGAAGATTTTTGCAATCAAACTGGTGAATCTCGCAGAATTTCCCTTCTTTTGGGAGTCTGCTGTCTTTCTGTTCCTTGTACTGCTTTTATTCTCCTGGCTTTTTCTTGTCGTGCAGCTTTGCTATGTTGTAATTGAGATGCACACTAGTGCAAGGCTTAATATAACTGTTATTTTTTTCCAGATGAAAGCTTTATCTCTGTGTTAACTTAAAAATAATTATTCAGGATGAAAAGTCATTCTAGCTGAGGACGTGAGTGCTGTTGTTTCTGTGGCTTCTTTCCCCGGCCTTCTGTTAGATGCCTTAAAAGTCTGCACTGTCAAAGGACGATTCCAGGTCCTGTTTCAGCTGAACTTGTAGAATAGGTCAGGTAAAAACGTTGTGTGGTTCTTTTGAAATGCAGACTTGCACCGCTAGAGGACGCTGCCTGCCTGCTTGTGTGAGCTCAGTGCTGTTACAGTTTCCCTTGCTGTCATTCAGGAGCTACATCAGATCTCCTTTAATGAGTAATAAATTTGGTTGCCGCTGAGTGGCGCACTCTACAAAAGGAAATTCAAAGAAAGCTCTCCTTAACTTTGTTATACTGTGATATGATGGTCAGGAAGTATCTTTTCCTTTAGCAGAAGAGGAAGAAATTTGTTACTTCAAATATAAGTAGCCTAGGTCTTGCCATGAAGTTCTGAGGTCACCTGGGGAAGCCAATGAAATCTTCACCTTGACAATGGTTGGGGACTTTCAGCATGATTTTTGTTAGTAAAACCCATTCATCTTACTTGGGTTTTCTTCCTGCAAACACCACCTGAGGGGTGATGTGGATTTAGTCCTGTTTCTGATTGCCTCTCTGGTAGTCAGGGCTGCTGCAATGCTTTTCAGTTCAGAAGGAAAGATGTCAGTGAGCTCATTGTTCTGAACTGCATCAAGAGAAAGCTCTGAGGTGGTGCTTGGACCTTGCTGCTGAGAGTGGGATCCCGTGTGCTTGGTGATGTGCTAAGGAAGCAGTGCGGGCCCTGTGAACTCCTGTTGTTTTCCTTTCTGCAGGAGCTGAGTGTGGCTCTGTACCGGCATCTGCTCGGCCTTCAGGAGGGCAAAGGCAGCCCAGAGCAGCCTGCAGATGGGAAGGATCTATACCTTCTGTGCTGTGACATTGATCCGGTGCTCATTGAGAGGGCTCAGCAGAGCAGCCCCTTCCCTAACTCCATATCCTTTGCCAGCCTGGACATCATGGACTCCACCTCCAGAGAGCCATTCCTCAGCTCCTACCTGAGCCGTTTTGGCCGTTCTACCTTTGACATCAGCTTTTGCATGTCTGTGACTATGTGGATCCACTTGAACCACGGGGACAGAGGCCTGGTGGAGTTCCTGGCCTTCCTGTCCTCTCAGTGCAGGTACTTGCTGATTGAACCCCAGCCCTGGAAGTGCTACAGAGCAGCTGCCCGCCGCCTGCGGAAGCTGGGCAGGAACGACTTCGATCACTTCCGATCTCTTGCCATCAACGGGGATATGGCAGAGAGGATCACACAGATCTTAACAAAGGACTGCACCATGGAGCTGGTGTGCTGCTTTGGGAGCACCAGCTGGGACAGAAGCCTCTTGCTCTTTAAGTCAAATGGCTCAAATCATGAGGGCAGGGAGCCTTCAGAACAGCAGCAGTGACTGACAAAGGGACTCTTGTGCTCCTGAGTTTGTGGGCAAGCTACAGAGTCACATACAGGAATTCCTACATCCCTATCGGGGTCAGACCTTGACCTCCCTAGGGAGTTTGAAGCAACTAATATCTGTGCATTGTTGTTTGTTTTTTTTCCTCTTCACATCTGTAAAATGTGGTGGCAGTTCTGACCTATCTTGTGGGTTCTGAGGTTGCTGTTCCTAGAAAGTACTCTTGAAATCCAAGCTGCTATATGTGTGATTTCTTACCAAGGATGTTCCTTGGAAGAAGAGAGAACATGCCTTTTTTTTTTTTTTTTTGCACACACAGCTTTTTGAGGAAAGGGGGGCGGCAAATCCATTTCTACTCACTCATGTGATGCAGTTTGTTCTGCTTCTTGTTGTGTTTTCTAGATAGAAGGCTTAAGGAAAACACACAGCCTGCTTTACCAGCCATGAATGAGTAAGTTGGATCATTGCAGAATGTATTTTGGTCACAGTGTCCTGTGCACCTTTACAGATGGGATTTGCCTGGTTTGGAGGCTGTCAGTGGTGTGAACTTTCTTTGGAGTGAAGGATTTCCTTGACAGAGCATGTATTCATTGAAGAGTGTAACAAAGTGAGAGCTCTTTGTAACAATGTCCTTAAAATAAAATAATTTAATTTTATCAGTAAACATTTTGGTTTTTGTAGGTTTTTTTTTTTTTTTTTTCCTTTTAAATCTATTTTTTCACACAGTTTTTGTAGGCTCTGGTAGCTGAGTATGCATTTTCATTGTATTCTTAGGTCTATGTACCACTTCGGTAAGCCTGAAGCTTGAATGCTGTCTGTGAGTAAGGTTAAAATATCACAACATCTGGGTTATTTCTTATTGTTCAATAAGGTCTGGGAAGAAAAAAGGAAAAACGAGGGTGAAATAATTTAACTTCACTTTGCTTAATCTCCCTACTGGCTTTAGTTCATATCTGATTAGTGGTTTTGCTGGCTTTTATCATTGGCAGGAGTCACGCTTGCAGGGTGCTGTTCAAATAGCTTGTATGAGTAGGCTGTGACACACTGAAATAGGTAAGTGATGACTCTTATGAGTTCTGCAGCTCCCTTACTGTGCAGTGAGGGAAGCCCAGGTGTGTACCCAAAGGGAATCTCCTCCAGGAGGTGCTCTTGTCTAGCAGTTCTTGTTCATGAGTGCTCTGTTTTAGTTGTTGTGGCTGGAACTTCCTGGTTGTTTGCTGAGGCAGTGATAGGAAATCAGAAAGTTTTGGTTTCCTTTGTAATGAGCTCAGATTAAAGAGTGAAGGGTGTGCGTGCTCTGCTGGGCTGCCCTGGACTAATGGTTGAGGAGCTGCTGGGACCCATGGATAGATATGTGAGAGTGAAAAAAGAGTGCTTATGGGGGTGAGTGTATTTGAAGGAACTGAGAGGGGGCACAGAAAGAAAAGCTCACAGAACCTGCTTTCTCAGCTGCAAACCAAGGTGTCAGTCCCAGTGACAGCTGTTAGTTTTGTTACAGAAGGCTTTAAAATCAGGGCTGTTTCCCCTATCCTTGTGGGAGAGTAGAGCAAAACTTCATCCTGCATTTTCTTAAGGGTTCACCCAAGTGCCCAATCTCTCTCTCTCTCTCTCTCTCTTTCAGGTTATATATGAATTCCACTTATCTCTTTGATAATGAAGCACCTCTGAGGTTGGCTGCAATCTATGGGTGGGCTGCAGTGACTCAGGGCTGATGGCTGAGCCACTGCTGTTCCCTGCACTGTGCAGCTGGTGGCACTGGAGTATCGTGCAGCCTACAGCTGTTGGGTTGTGTCAACATTCCTTGCTGTTCTCTTTGAAATATGTAGAAAATAGACCTGGGCTATGTCTGTTGTAAAGGGGTGAGCAGGGTTTTCTGCCTTTCAGTTCTGCGTGGGAATTTGCACAGCTGCCTGAAAAGCTTAATAAATTGTTGCTAGGAAGGTAAACAACCCAAAGAATTACAGGAGACCTTCCCTGCACCCACCTGGAATGACATTCCTCTTCAAAGAGAGCCTGTTTTATGTTCTTTCTGCACTGATAGTATCTGCCTGGGTGATTCCTTTGGTCTGCTCATTGTTGAAAGACTCTGTTTTCTTATTTCCTCATTTCTTTTTTTGCAGCCTTTATGTGCTGGCTGTGTGCAGACCTGCAAACCAGCCCAGTGTGTATGTAACAGTACAGTGACTTCTTATCTGTCTCAAGTCTGGACTTCTAAATTGCTAATATCAATATGTCCCACTCAGAAATGGCTCAGCTCCAAAACTACTCTGACTTTGGCACAGCAGCGTGTTTTGTTTCTCTTCCTTTGGATATTGCCACAAACACAGCTTAAATTAATGTCAACATAAATCCCTGTGTGGTTCTTGAGATATCAGGTAGAATGGAATGAAGTCAGTCCTTTAGCAGACAGTGTTAAAATAATAATAATAATAATCTCCTTTCTTTTCAGCTCGCTGCTTTTGTTCTCCAGGAAGGTGTCATGAGATGAGACAGCTGGGAGCCCAGCTCCATGACACAGCAACAGAAGAAAGCCTGTGGATCTCAACTGCTGTGCTTATGTAAGGCTCTGGAGAATATTTCTTTTATATACTCTGCGCTCTTTGCATTTTGCAACGTGGTTAAGAGGTATTCACAGGCCTCCTGGAGGCAGGACATAAGGAAAGTAAAGGTGGGGGTTAAGACTGACACTTGTGCTCCCTCTCACTGTGCAGAGCTGGGTGGTTAATTGTTAATTGTTCTTCATGCAGCTGGGGAAGCAGAGAGATGTCCCTGCTTGTTTGAGGACACCTGTGACGGATGGCAAAGCTGGTGCAGAAGCCTCTGTGCTCATCTCTGCAATACAGAGATGGGGCTGTTGCTAAAACAAAGGAAATGGAAGTGTGCTCATGCTACTCTGCTGCCTGTGCTGACCTTCTTTGCCACTCGTTTTGTGTCATGTTTTTTTCCTGCATGTTGGAAGGGTAGTAAGGAGATCCTGCTTGCTCTCTCCAACCCCATGGCTCCACAGTTGTCTGCAGGAGCCTACAAAATTCACAGCAAGGTGCTGCCCTGTTCCACCCAGCAGCAAACTGGGAGTTCCCATGCCAGCACTTCGTTGTGTTCTTAGGCTCTGTGGTTTGTTGCTGGGTTCCATCAGACCTTGCCTCAGTTTTTCCATCCATGAAAGGAGTTTGGTATCCACCCACCACCGTGGAGATTTCTGATGTGGAATATGGGCTGGATGTTTGCACAGCACTTTTGAGGATGAAAAAGTCCTGATGAGCTGAGCTGTATCATCAGCTGTGAGCTATGCCATTGTACGTAATGATCATTGCAGCCGCTTCAGATATTAATTAGGTGCTGTACCTTCAAAGTGCTCTGACTAATTAAGTCTCGCACCACTGCTGTGTAGCAAGTTGTGTGTAATTATCCTCCTTCCTTGGGTAGAAAAATCTAGACCAAATAGCTAAAGCTGAGCAAGTCACTATTAAAGTTGGGGCTGAGTTCCAATTTCTGGGTGATTCTGCTGTGGCTTCCAGCCTTTGTAGGAAGTAAATTAAATTGAGTTGATGAGAAATCCCTTTTTTTCTTTCTTTCTTTTTTTAATTATTTTTTTAATTTTAACTCTTATGCTAAGGAACAGTGCTCTGTCTCTTAGGGTCTTGTACTGGATGAGAGCAAGGAATGCACTGAGTGGGGAAGAACGTGGTGTGCAAACGTGGTGCAACAGCAGCCACTTTATCAGTTTAACATTAACAGCTGCCAGATCAAACGAGTGCTGTAAACTCCTGTCTCCCTGCTGTCTGCTTCCATTCCTGCACAAACACATACTGACAGCCTTGCAAACGCTGTTCGTTGGCCTTTCTAAATGGCAGCAGAATTTATGGTCTCACTCCACTTTTCCCAGAATGTATGAGCAGCTCAGGAATGGAGGAATCAAGCTTAGGAACTGAGAGTTGGCAGCAGTGTGTCTGCTCTCATAAGCAGCTTCCTTTAGCTGGAAACCCGGCAGCTTGCCACTACAAGCTTGTATGTTAGAAGCTGCAGATTTTCGGATTTCCTTTGCTCAGCTGAGGGCATGTTTGTTCTTGTTCTCCCTGGAACTTTGCAGCCTGTGAATTAAAGGAGAAAAGTGAGAGGTGTCAGCCCTGTGAAGTATGGGCATCTGTTTCTGGCACGCTGGAGACCTGAAAGAAGAACAGCTATGCATCAAACACGTGATGCCTGTTCTCTACCAGGTGTGAGCCAGTCCTCTTGCAAAGTTCTGGTTTGTCAGGTTAGCTGGTGGTGTGAAGAACCTGATTCCCTTTCTCAGTGCTGGGGGGGGCTTCTGGGAGGGGGCTTCCCTTGTCTTCACTCCGGACTTGTGCTGAAGGCTGTCCTGTTTGGTCAAGTTGCAAATGAGAGCACTTGGTATGTCAGAGCAAGCCAGAGGGAAATAAGAAGATCGCCTGTTAACTTCCTTGTGTCCTCTTGGTTATGGAAACGGATGCAGTTTAGCTTTGTACCCTTAGGTTTGATGACTAAGTGAGAATGGACTCCTGGATTCTCCAAGGCTTTGGTGCAGTCTCTCTGGACCCAATGGAGTAGTATGTAGGTAGATGAGTGGTGTGTGGGAAGTCTGGTCTGTCACTTGCTCTTTTTAGTATTTAGGGTTTCTCTCCTGGCACCTCAGCTTTTTCATTAGGTTTGTGTTAATGTGGGCAGGTTTGGTTTCCCACAGGTCTTTGTACACTGATCTCTTGTAGCATTACAGGCAGCAGCCTTGCCACCAAATGTCACCTGAGTTTTCTGTGTTTAGTTGTTGTAGGAGTGTCCTTTTTACCTTACAGTTGGGTCAACCACTGGTCTTGGAGTCCAAAGGGGTCTCCAGTTTGGAGAAAAAAGTTGGGGTTGTGATCTGGGCTCAGGATATGCTTATAACCCTTTAGAAAAATTGGTAGGTGCTCAGGTCTCAAAGAACTTGATTGTAGGGTAGGAAATGTGGGTTCCTTTCTGAGCCTTGTCCCCAGCTGCCTGTGGGACTGGGGCAAGCTGCTGCTTTCCTCAGACTGCTCATCTTGTGCTCTTTATTTCACAGGGAAGGATAACCTGACGTGTTAAGTTAAGCCCTTGAGCTCAGTGAATACAAAGCGATATGCAGACCTGAGTTGACCAGAGAATCCAAGTTGGGTCAGTTGTAGATCAGGCTTACAAAATGCATATTATCAGCTGCTTGGATTTTTGTTCTCGCTTGCAACAAAGCCACTAAATCCATGGGCCTTTAACAGGGCACAGTTTAGTTTTGAGGGACGATGTTTTCAGAGCAGCAAAGCTCTCTGTACTCCTCTGAAAAGGGGGGTAAGGGTCTTACTCATCCTTCCATGGCAGAATGCACTTTAAATAAAGTGCAACTGATTAAACTCCCTTCATCTAAGTTGTGTACAGTGGGCCAAAGACTGGGCATGGCACTGCAGATCCCCTGCCCTGGTTCCTTCTGTTAAGTGCTTCATGATGCCAGATTAAGTCACTCTATTTTACTGTTGCAGTAGCAGTTTCTGCACCTTCTGTATGACTGGCAGGGATTTAGTTAGAGCTGAATTTGAGGGTGGTGTCCCTCCCTGGCCTTCTCAGTTCCCCTCCATCCCTGGGGTCAGTCCAGACTCTGACGGCCCTGAAATGTGTAGAAGCTGCTG